TATATATCTGTCTCTCCTAGGCAAAAAACTTAAAAAATTGTGATGAGTAGAACTTATTACAAGAATGCTCAAGGCTATGAGTTAGCTAATTATTAATTCAAAGGACGATTAAGGTGAACTTAATTGAAAGTTTTTGCAGTGTTAACTTGCTGTTGATGTAAATGTTAATTAAGGTTACTGAAATTTCAACATTGCTTACTTAAACACATTTTTAGTTGAAGATTGAGTAGGCTAATTAAATAATTAGAATCAATCCTTTAAGGCAATAAAACTCATTTGTTTTTTAAACACCTTTACAAATAAGGTTTCTAAAAAAATCTGAAATTTCACAAAACTGTTTTTATTTAGTGGAGTGCATTAGCATATCGCTTTTTTGATATTTTGATGCCACACATTTAACTGGGCTTTGGCACAGGCCTTCTTAGTTATTATGTGTAATTTTTATTTATTAAATTGCTTGTTCTTCTGGACAGCGGAAAGAGAATATCTGCAATGTTAATTTTATTTAAACGGTTATTGCAGACAAATTACATTTACTACCTTTTGCATGTTTAAACGATTTTTACTATCCTCTAGTAGTCATCTTAAATAAAATAAGCCTACATAAAAGTAAAATATTTTGTAAAATCTTGCAGTACATTTCCTAATTTGATCATGGTTGAAGATAGTAGTTTTGAATGTATTGTAAATGTCTGTCAAAGAGGTTCCATATATACGGTATTTTTCTATATGAATTACAGGAGGGCATCAGCCATCATTGATGGTTTACATCAATTAAAATAAAACAAATTTTTAACTATAGCACCAAGATTGAAACCGAGTGTTTTATGAGTGCGTGTTATTAAAGATCAAAATAAAGAGAAGACAACATAAATCAATCTCATAAACCCACAGTAATGTAAAGCTTATAACTTGGTGTTAACCTAGTAGTGATACAACTGTATTAAATATAACGAACTGTAAGCTTCATTTGATTCATATACTTCTCTTTACTGTAAAGCTCTATTTTACTTACAACCTCGTCCACTTCAGATATACATCAGCTTCTCTAATCTAATATGATTGAAAAATATAAAACCTCTATTAATTTTCTATTTGATTCCTTAAATAATAAACAATTTTTGTGATATTCTTAGACAATCAAAATGTTTTTACCATAAGGTAATCACTCCCTGATTATCTTGCTTGGGAAGAACATTGCAAGTTTGAACAACTCAAAAAACTTTTACAGCGAAGAGAAAAATTTCTTTGATCCTCGTTCCTGCTTCATTTAGCTTGGTTTTTATCCGCGGCTCTAATCAGCCAGAATCTCTTCTCGCTGTCACCATATTGTACCTGGCTATTTATTTGGTCACTAAAACATCGGACGTAGCTAAGCCTTTTTGTACGACAATATACAGACCATTGTTCTATAGAAAATCTTAAAAAAATAGTGAAATGAGTGAGATCCTATATACAGCTATACAGTATTGCTGAAGACTATCCACGCACCAGGGTTGTTTCTTTGCCCTCCCCCCCCCCCTCCGAACCAATGGTATCAATCTGTTTACAATGGCAATCGTTAAATTCAAATTAAACTAGAACTAGCCTTATTTAAATTGTATTAAATCAAAACTTTTATTTATGGCCAAAATAAGGTACAAATAGAGTTGTTTTCAGCTTTAGCAGGCCTTTCTTTCTAGTGAAAGTAAATAGTTATGACAAATTATTATTTTTTTCATATCCAAATAATAGTTAAGTTTAAGTGCTAGGCATTTTTGTAGTCCTTATGACAATAGGCTTCCTAGTCCAAGGCCAGTATATATTCTTTTTAAGGCTCTCTAGACATATAATAGCACAAGTTATCCTTTTAAGCAGCAGTAAACCTTAGTATGTACATATGTAGTCAAAGATCAGCTGGGTATGTTAGAAAGTGCACTTTTCGTTTAATAACACCATAAACCAGTGTTAAAAAAAACTCATTAAAAAGCAAGTAAAAATATTGTCATTCTGCACGGTTGATAATTTTTTAATGTACACTCTACACAAATGTGATTATTAGTGCAAAATTATTTGGACTTTAAAGTCATAAATAGTAATTTTCAAGATTACGGAATCATATACATCCCTGTCAATACTTGTTTGGTTTGATGTCGTAGTCTTTGAAAATAACTCCCTAAAATTAGGTGATCTAGCTTTCCAACAAATGTATTTTTTTAAATTATACTCCTCCATTTAAATCTATTTGAATTGATTGGCTGGCCGGCTGCTTTAGAACTGTATATTACGCTTTCAAAGGCCCTACTTCAACTGCGTTTGTTAAATTAAGATTTAAAATAGATTCAGATTCTTGAAAATAATCTTGCCTACGGTGGTGAATTGAATCTTGCCCCCCCCCCCTTAATCAACTAGTATTTTAACATTTGATTTTATAGAATTATTCAACGCTAAAAAAAGGTATTTTCCTCGTTCTCACTTCAAATTAGCGTATTGACCAAAAAGTTACTTATAAAAAGCCATCATAGTTCAGATAGGCCTACATGATACAATATTAAATTTAATATGTATATGATATCCGAGAAGATACAAGAAGCCAATATTAGCAATTCCTATAAACACGGAGTGTAGCGGCCAGAGCCAGTAAACAGGTGGAGCGATGGTGAGGAAGGCACATGAATATTCATCCCTCCGGAACAGCTGAAATGAATTATCGCTGCAGTTTTTCTGCGGCGAGCCCAACTATTGAGCAAGACAGTGAAAACCATTTAACTGAAGCATTTTCTTAATTAATTTCTTCGCATGAAAGCATTTTTCACCACAAAGCACTAAATGTCATGCAAGTTATCTTTTTCAGGATGATGGATTTTACTAAAATATTTATATTTTGAGAGTGTAGGCTATGTGTGCCTTCCTCCAGTATATTTAGTGTTAGTAAGCAAGTAATTTATTTGGGAATTTCGCCGTTGAGAACTACATATCGACAAATATTTAAGCAATAATGTGTTTTTTATTCGGATATACCAGTGTTTATTTTATAAGAACTAAATCAAATAGTGTTGTAGTACTGTTACAAAGTAAAAGGCACAAAATCAGTGTTGATGAGAAGTTTAACTTTTCATGCAAATCTTTCTTTTACATCTTTTTGAGATTCGAATATTTGTGTAGATGGAAAAAAAACTTTTAGCAGCTTTCTTTCTTAACTCTTGATTATATCCTTTTGCCCAACTTGTTTGATTACAATTGCGTTTATCTTAAATCAGGTATAATATGGTTTTGGAATCGTAAAATTTTTCTAAATTGGCATTGGTTTCTTCACTTAAATACCTCTAAAGAAAATGAATTAAAATGAATTCAATATTTCAAAGAGAACTGTTTTCCTTGTCACTTTAGAATCACAAATCGCTTGGCCAGACTGATACAGTCAGCCATAATCAGCTTCAAGTGCAGATAAACTACTACTGCAGAGTTAAAGATTATAAAACATTGTCTCAAAGTCAATTTAAACTTTCCTTCCTATGATAGCACCTTATGATATTTAATGTGATTGATTGGATACAGCTCTACCATTTCTGTTCTTTTTTATGGGTTCCATTGTTTTTTTCTACGCCAGTGTGACATTTTTAAGACATCGTTAGTTCAAACTATTTTAAGGGAAGAGGTCCATACTATATTAAAGTTTTGTGAATGTGCCGGGAATTGAACCTGCCCCTCTCACACCGAAGTCCGAGGCGCTAAAATCTATTAGATTTATCAATCTATTTAATTTATATTAATTTTTAGGGTTTCCACATTTTTAAAGAAGTGTTTTGGTGTAAGAGTAATTAGCAATGAGAGGATGTTCGGCCTCTACAAAGTATATTCCGTAGCCAAGTATTCCGCAGCAAGCCGAGCTGTTTATCTTCACTAATGACCTCAAACACGAGCATCATTCACAGCCCCTCCCACCACGAATATCTCACTTAATGCAAACTCGCCCGCTTTATTTGTTTTCGCTACCAATTATTTTTATTTTGGTTCCATTAAGAGGCGTCTTGGAATTTGTTTTTCGTGGTGATTCTATTAGGGTAATTACAAGTGAAAAATAACATGGAATTCTGCCTTTACGATGAGGATGAAATATATGAAATATATTTTAGAATTCTTTAAACAGAATGAAATTTAAAATGCTAATTGGAATTTGTTGGCAGTAAATCTTGTAGCCAAGTGTTAAAGAGAAGAAGTAATTTACGTACGACTTTTTATGGTTCTAAGGTTGTTACGTGTTCGATTCAATGTAATACCAACTTCAAAAAATTGTATTCATTTAATAAAACCAGAAATAGTACTACATTGGTAACGAATAAGATGAATTGTACGTGCATTTGTACAAAATCAGGGAATTTAACATAATCCCCAACAGCCGATAACCATGCTTGTTACGTCGACATCATTCATTCACCCTCATTCTTCACTCATCTTCACCTCATTGTACCCACCCTAGTGTGTCAGTGTTGTATAAATCACGCTGTATGAGACACAACAACCTACTTGACCAGAACCGATTATCATGATCAAGAGGCCGTCCCGCAAACGGCTGGCGGCTCTTCCAGATGAAGTGGAAACAAATTTGAAAATTTACCTGGTAATCAACAACCGGATTGCTGTTATCCGGCGTGATTGTTGGTTCACAAATCTGATAATCAGAGTGTTCAGCGACCTTCATAAGGCCACGCGTTCGAACTGCGATTTGGTGTCATTCAATATTCCCTTGACGAGGTCGTTACAGCCACTTCCTCAGAAGCAAGTGACTTACTAGGAAGTTACATATCGTGAACTACCAAGGTCATACGAAGTAAAAAGGTGGTATGAGAAATTGATGTGCCGATGCTATCGGTTCCCTTTTAACGTCGGTGTTTTTGTAAATAATCGGGATCAGGAGGCGATCGCGGTGTCGCCGTGATCGCAGAAGATCATATCGGTGTCGTCGAGAATATATGTTTCTTTCCATTAATTGTCACCTAAAGTGGACTGTTGTGTTACAGGCGGCTGATGTGCCAGCGGCTCATTTTGAGCCGCAGGTGGCGATGCTGTGTGACAGCAAGGGTGATCAGCCGTACCGCAGCCAGTACATGACAGAGGGTGGACATTGGGCTACAGACCTCGTACACAAAGTTACCTGTTACAAAGAGAAACTGGACATCCTTGAATACTGCAAAAAGGTAAGGCATGCATGTTAGTTGAACTTGGTTGTGTTAAATTGAAGCTGTTAGTTGGTCTGGTTGTTCCTTGGGTAAGGATGACTTTCCATTATCTCGTACCCGATGTCACCCTCTACCATCTCTTTTTCTGTCGTTCAATTCCGCTTAACTTTTTCTATCCAAATTCCTCTCAATCCCATATTCTCTTTCACTTTATGTCAATTTTTACAAGAAATATTCCTCACACTTTACTTTTAATATGTCTAGACCATCTTAGTATCGCATAAGTTGTCTGAAACTACGTACCTCCTGATGTAATATCCTTCTCAGTTTTGATAATTTCCTGGGTCAAGGAGACGGCTAGGCCTCTCCATCGTCACCTATTTTTCCTCAGTGCCCTTTTATCCACTATACCATATCTTAACTATTTTTACATCCCTTACCTTATTACGTCTATTCACCTCTCATCACGGTCTTCCTATCGGTATCTTTACGTCTTTTACGATCAACTCGTTTTTCCTAAAGACTAAATTTTCACACTATTCTTTTTGTACTAATCTTGTGTTTTTATCTCCCCCTTAAGCCTTCTGAAAATACCCTTGTTGTGATTTCTTCATTCGTAGACAAGAAATTATTCTTCGTTTACTATTTGACGATATGAATAATTATACTAGACTAGTAATTTTTGACTATTGAGAACCACTGGGAGTAGAAATAATCTCAAAAAAATATTTCACATCTTTTTATTTAAATTACGACAAAGTTCCATTGAACTGACATCTCAGCTGAGAAAGGTAAAGCTTGAATTTTAAGTGAAATGAAATTGAATACAGTCTCGGTAACTGCTGAGGGGCTAATGATCATCGAAGGAGAACTAACGGCATAATTAACCAGTGTTGGGGACAGAGTTTGATGAGGCTGAGTAGAGCTTGGGGCAGCCTTGATAGCTTTGGACTCCCACTTTACACCTATTAGACTAAATGTACTTCACCAGACAAACACTTAGCATTATTGGCTTTGGCCATTTCACTCATTAAAATGTTGACATATATTTGAACATGATTGATGTAATGTTCTATCCTGATCTTTGAAGAATGTCGTAGTCATTTAGTGAATAGTCAGGCGTGATAGTGTCTAGGTGTTGTATGTCCAAATGCAAAACAGAGGACTGCAATGTCCAATCAAATATATTGAAGTGTTCAAAATGCCCAACATTAATTATTTGACATTACTTAGTGTAGGGTACCGACTTACTTTAACGTACGTCAATGAAAGAAACATACATGTTTTCAAAGAGTTGTTTAGCCTCCGGATTACTGTACAGTATTATACTTGAAATGGTTTACAATACCTGCATTTAGTAATAATTCTTTGCTGTTTTGACAACTAGTTTCGGTTCTTATGAACCATCGTCACTTTTATACTTTACTTCAGCCTGGTCACGTTCGATTTTGTCAATGTCCCTTCATGTGTTTCGTGTTTTTTTGTAAACGTGTGTCCGTTCTATGTCATCGTGTGTCGTGTATGTTTTATTTATTGAACTGTGTTTGTTAACGACCTTCAAATGAAGTGATAGCCTGACACCTTGAGGCCTGTTGGTTCAAATGAACCGAAACTAGTTGCCAAAACAGCAAAGAAGGAATACTATGCAGATATTGTAAACCATTTTAAGTAAACGCACATGTAATTACAATTACGATTGTTCTGCAAGTTTCACAATGTAACTAAGGTTTATTTGCTTGTTGAAAAAGCTGCAAAACTTAGCATGTTTTCTTTTTACATGGTTAATAACATCTTGTTGCAGATGTGAGATTGGACCATTTACTTTAATAGAACACATTCACTCTGAGGTTACATTTTTAGACACAAAATATTTCTATGCCTTTATACCTTATGCAAAAGAGAATATAGTTCAACGTACGAAGCCTGAAGGTAAAACATCTCTCACTGTATCTTATTTAATCTTTTGACAATGGAATACAGCTAAATACTTATCATTTACTTCCATTTCATTGTCACTTACCAATTAGTTGCTGATAAAGTGAAGCGGTTGATACCTGACCAAAATGGATTTACTCAAGTATGTAAATTAGCCGAAAGTCAGCGTCACAGTTTGATGATTTAATCAACTTGTCACACAGTAATGGAATTTCAGAACAGTTCAGTTTATTGCCACTTTGGTAGCGCGTTTCTCATTGTTACTCTGCCATGCTCATTTTTGTACTCTCATAAACCCAGTAGTAAATTATCTGGCTTGACGATTTCCGTGAAGTCCTTAGTTAATAGTCTCATTGTTTCAGAACCAATTTGGTTTTTAATTTGTGTTCTGTTATAGCAATTCAGTGTTTTTAGAAATACGTGGTGGTATCATTTGCATTTAGCAGTGATAATCAAAGTTTTTTCTTTAAGCAGGACATTAAGTATTTTATCATCATCTACACATTATTAAAGCCTAATACGCATTTTTCTTTCACTTTCCACAAAATTGACTAAACAACTTATTGTGTTTAAAATACACAAAGTCATCATGTTTTGAATAAGTTTTGATAATTCATAGTATCGATAGTATCTTTTGCAATCAACGTTTTGCTAGATTGTGTTTGTTTGAATATTTACAGAAGTCAAAAGTATGCCCTAATAGGTGTGAACTACTTTTTTTACTAATTTTAACTGGATTCCAGTTTAACTGGCTTGAGAAGAATAAAAAAAACTCACTAATTCTTGAAATATGGCTGTAGAAAAGATTACAGGTTCAAGACTAGGACAGGGGTAGGCAATGACCTGCGTTCGTAATCTGATTGCAACAGATTTTGTATTAATTTTCCCGATTCTGCGCCACAGGGACAGAGCATTGACGGCCCTAGGGCTACCAGCCGCCTGTTGGTGTCGGAGTGAGTGCAGCAGTGTGAGTGTGCGTGTGCGTGTGTGTGTGTGTGTGTGCGTGTGTGCGCGCGCGTGTTGGGTGTGCTTGGGAAGTACAGTAGCAGGTTATCTTTTGAGGGTAGGGTAGGGGGGAGGTGGGGGCACCATTCGCTCAGTCCTCCAGCGCAACTTTCAACTTTTAACTTGTTCAAATTTCCTTTTTTTCATAATTTAAAAAAAATCTCTAATAATATAACGACTCTCTCCCACTCACAGGATTAAATTATCCTTTGTGGGGGATAATTTCGCTTGATTTTAAAAAGCTTTTATAGAAAATTAAATATAACCTAGAAAAATAAATAATATTGTAAATATTTTTGTACAGGGATCAAACCATATTATGTTATGTCTGTTTTTTGCGAAATAAATGATATTTTGATTTGATTTGATTTGATTAGAAAATGTAGTGAACGATGATTTCGTACCACCATTGATTACTAAGACTAGTTATCCGGATTGGTCATGTCCTCTTTACACTAGGTGCACAGCTTTCTGCTGTAGTGCTGTACATTGAAATAGTTCTCAGAAAGGCCGTGTGTAGTGAAGCGTTGGGCTGCATACTCAAACAGTCTGCGTAATCAGTGGCCCCCTAACTTTTGTGGAACTGCCTTTGCTCGCTTGAGTCTAATTACTTTCATAAATTACCACTGTTTTTATTTGTCCCAAGGTGGTTCAGGAAATAAATTGCCATTGCTAAACACTCTTTGTTCAAACCTGTACTTGTTATCAGAGCTGTTATTTTATCAGACCACATTGGTTTGACAATACAAATTACTTGTAGTAAATATCGTTATTAGTAGTCCTTTTGTCAGGTTCCTAGTATGAGATAAATGCATCCCCTTGTAATTTAACGTGTTAGTCTTAGTATTAAAATGAACACTTTCTTCATACAAGAAAAGCTACATAAATGATGTTTACTTGCTGGAAAATACATTAGCAACAAGCACATGGGAAATTCTAAAATATCAAATTTTCACTTTGCATAGCTACAACAAAGGTTTAATTTGTTTCAATTATATATTCCAAGTGTCAAGTGTATGTTTACACGTAAGCACTTAAATGTCAAATTTTAGTTTTATGTTGTGTTAGTTTCTTAATCCCACACGTATTGCAAAACTAATATGTTTTATAATAGAAGAAAAACAATCTCCATTTAAATAGAAAAAGATTTATGATTAAAAAATTCGAAAAGTAAACTATTCAAAAGGGCACTACAATCAAGAGATGATTGGTATTTGCAATATTGAAAATGTCTGGCTTTACTGAAACATCATTTATAAGGATGAATCTCCGGTTGTGATCAGATTACAGATTATCAAAATGTATTTTCATTTTAAAAAACCTGCTATTGCAGGGATTGTAATTTATTTATTGACCAACAGATAACAGAGATTTGGTAACAGATTTGTTTATGAAACTAATTTAATAGATACCAAGTTGGGGCTCCCTTAGTAGTCACTCTATTTTTAAATAATGTATCTAGAGCAAATGATTATCCGACTAGCTTTCATAAGCCTATTATTAAAACAAATGCTCTAATTCGTTTACTGACTTGGTTGAAATGAAATATTTACCTGAGTATTTTCATAATCTTTGAGTCGAATCTTTTTAAGTCATCTGAAATTATGACTGTTATTCGTTTTAAAATAACGCCTGTAATACTTAGCAATTGCTCGAATTCGAGCAACAGGTACACTTGTTTTTAATAAATATTAGATTCACATAATTATTAAGTTGAAATTTTGATGCGATATTGTTGAAAACTGGTAATTTATTCACATCCTATATTTTTATGAGTTCGTCGGAGGAGGTTTATTTTGTCATGCAAATAGTGAAATGCAAACCTGTCAGGTGGAGATTCAGCAGCCGCGGTGTGGATCCATTTGGTCGACAAACACTTCAGCCCATAGAATCTGATCGTGTGGGCCAATGTGGACAATTTTATACACATTGGAAATGAAAACGTTGCGAAATCGAAATGTTATTGTAATATGGGTAAAAGTTATTGAAAGTTGTGTGCGTCCTTGTAGCGCGTAAGCTATGTCAAGCTTGTTTACAGTTTTTAAACTATTTTAACAATGTTTGTGTCCAATATCTTT